CCTTTCTCAGTCAAGGCAACAGGACAAGCGCATTGCTGCCTGTACCTGCCTGCTGAGTGGATGAGCTGTCCGAGATCACACCAGCATAGAAGTATATTGAAGGCGAACCCTAATGAAATTAAGAGTGTCCTGCATCCCACCAACATGAGTCCAGGCAGGGTCGTTTGGAAGCCGAACACTTTACGTTTCCAGCCCACACCACTGTCAAGTTTGAGCAAATTAGGACAAGTCAGCACATAAGAATGACCATATATATCAGCAACTGCTAATGGTCCTATTTAGCCCGCCCACTACTAAAGGATCCCCCCAGCCTAAAGGGAGGATCCACAAGACCTGGAAGCCAAATAATTCTGGAGGACAACTAATAAAAGAACAGGCACGGGAGTGCGGTCAAAGGGAACCTGACGGGGACACCAAGCAGAGAACCCTGGACAGCACCCACTGCTCCTCAAAGGCGTCAAGGGAGCCAGCAGACGCCGCCCAGAGGAACTCTGCCCGGATGCATGAGCGGATGGAGGATCGGAAACAGGCCCCATGGTCCCAGGAGACCCCATCGGCCAACCTCCTCTCCCTGGTTTTATAGATGGTCGTTTTAGCCAGGGCTAGGAGGAGGTTGACCAGGAGGTCCCGTGACTTTGTGGGGCCACGGGTAGGGAGTGCGTAGAGAAGAAGGTGAGGGGAAAAGTGCAACTAAAAATGTAACCAGATATCCAGGAGGAGCCGGAATCGGGGCTGCAACCTAGCGCACTCCAGGTAAACGTGCGCCAGGGTCTTCCTCACACCGCAGAAGGGGCAGGTGTCCGGGACGGGGGTGAACCGTGCCAAGTACATGCCCATGCTCACAGCCCCGTGAAGGAGCCGTCAACTGATATCCCCGGCAGGCCTCGGGACCAGGGTGGAATATAGGCCGGCCCACCGGGGCTCCTCACCCTCTAGAGGTGGCAGGAGGTCCCGCCACTGTGTGTCGGGGCGGGACGCAAGGGTGAGGAAGTGAAGGGTGTGGAGCACGAGCATGTATAGATGTTTCCTCGGCGCAGTCTGGAACCGAAACGGCTGCAAATCGTGCAGCTGGCTCACGGTGAAGGGGCGAGGGGGAGGCCGGTTGGGTCCACGGGGCAGGGGCCTGATGAAAAGGTCCGGAGGGTCCAGGGTGGAGGGTGGGCGGGGCGTGCCCTCTCGCAGGACCCAGTCGAGGTAGGCCTGAGCAGCGGGCGGTAAAGCGGCCCTCACCTCCTGAAGTATGCGCTGGGGAGTGCGAGGCCTGGAGAGCCCCATGCGCAGAGCGAGCATCAGGGGATCCAGCCAGTCTCCCCGGTCGTAGTCCAGGAGGTGTCCGACTCTGGTGACTTCTGCCAGGACCAACCTCTGGCGCACCGAGGGGGACTCCGCCACCTGCACATGGAGCTGGGGGTTGTGTAGCAGGGGCTCCGCGAGGAGATCTGCCCCCCACAGTGGCTGCCACAGACCTGGTCACTGAGAACAGTTTCCAGGTCCAGAGGAGGTCCTGGTAGAAGACCGGCAGCCCGAAGAGGACTCGCGGAAGACCTCTCGGATCGAGATAAAGGAGCTGCCAGTCGTATCGGAGCCCTTGGAAATGGCGCAGGAAGGCGTGTGCCAGTACTCTCCACGCCGGACTACCTGCACCATACAGGAGCCTCTGCAGGGCCTGGAGGCGGAAGACGTGGACCCGAGTGCGCAGGCACTTCAGGCCCTGCTCTCCCTCCTCCAGGGGCAGGTGGAAGACCCCTGCAGAGACCCAGTGCAGTCCTGGCCAAAAGAACTCCAGAATCGCTGTCCGGAGGTGAGCCAGGAAACCCGGGGCTGGGACCAGGGTGTTGAGCCGGTACCAGAGCATGGACAGGACTAGTTGATTGAGTGCCAGTGCCCTCCCTCGGAGGGAGAGGCACCCGAGTAGTCCTGTCCATTTCCGGAGCCGCTCTGTCACCCTGCCCTCTAAACCGTGCCAGTTCTCCGGCGGGGACGGATGCGTGGCAGAAAGGTAAACGCTGAGATAGAGCAGCGGACCTGCGCTCCACTGCTACCTCTCCCTGCTACAGGTAGCACATTCCTACAGATAAGTTTCACACCTCCTGTGGTGTAAGAAACTGCTATCTGTAGCAATTAGCTACATCGGATAGCAGTTTCTAGCAAAGTAGGACCTGTCCCTGGTAAAGGTAGCAAATTCCTACAGAGAGCAGTTTCTCACACCATAGGGTCCAGATAATACTTTGTCCTGCCATGAGTTCAGGGGACAACAAAAGAGTACAGGGGACAAACTGCTACCTGTAGGAATTTGCTACATCCGGTAGCAGGTTTTTTTTACAATAGCAGTTTCTTACAATCCATTAACAGGGGTGGCAGGTTTGTAGTTTGGGTGGGGGAAGGAGGTCTGGGGTGCAGGGGATTGGGGTGCAGGAGGGGTGCAGAGTCTGGGAGGGAGTTTGGGTGCAGAAGGGGTGAGAGGTTGGGCTCTTGGAGGGAGTTTGGGTGGGGGAGGGGGTCTGGGGTGCAGACTCCGGGCTGGGGCAGGGAGTTGGAGTGCACGAGAGGGTGAAGGGTGCAGGCTCTGGGAGGGTGTTTGGGGGCAGGAGAGGGTGGGTGGGGAGGAAGGCTCGGGGCAGGGGGTGGGTGTGCAGGCTCTGGGATGGAGTTTGGGTGCAGGCTCCAGGCTGGGGCAGGGGGTGGGAGTGCAGAAGGGGATGAGGGGTGCAGACTCTGGGATGGAGTTTGGGTGCAGGCTCTGGGGTGGGGGTGTAGGAGGGGGTGAGGGGTACAGGCTCTGGAAGGGGTTTGGGGTGTGGCTGGTGATGAGGGGTTCATGATGCAGGAGGGAGCTCAGGGCTAGGGCAGAGGGTTGGGTTGGGGGTGCGGGCTCTGGGGTGGGGCAGGGCTGGGGATGAGTTTGGGGTACAGGCAGGGCTGGGGCCAGAGAGGAGGACTCCCCCCAGCCCTCTCCCTGCCGGCAGCAGTGAGCTCTGGGGGAGGGGTCCCCCTCTCCCCCCCACCCCGGCAGCACACTCACCCCCACCACTGTCACTCCTAAGGCCCCTCTCAGGTCCATATAAGCGTTATATGATCCTACTACACTTGTTATGGTGGAAAACTGCTTGTCACTGCCCAGAAGATTGTTTCCCTTTAGGAATTATCTCCACGTGGAATATCTACTCTGGAACGACGGCTTCGGATTAGCGGCTCCGTGTGTGAACGCTTGGCCTTCACATTCAAGAATCAACTTTCAAGGGAAGGCAAGCCCTTTCTCCCCCCACCCCACTCCCAAGCAAGTAACTCCTGGGCTCACTTCACTGCTTTCTCCCTTGCCTCTCCTCTGTACAGGCAGCTGGGGAGTGGGCGCTCTCCCCTTGCAGTCAGGGTCAGCATGGTGCTAGGGGGCGCTGTGCTGCAGAGAGCAGGGCGGGAGGTTCAGCAGGGGGCACTCTCCTCTGACAGTCAGTGCTGGCCCCAATGCCCTAGTGCGGCGCTAGGGGGCGCTGCGCTGCAGGGAGCGGGGTAGAGGGCTCTGCAGGGGGTGCTCTGCCCTGGCAGTGCTGGCCCCAATGCAGCACTAGTGGGCGCTCTCCCCGTGACGCAGCGCTCCAGTGCACTGCTAGGGTGTGTGATGTGTTTACTCCCGTGGGTGTGGAACAGGTGCCCGTGGGGTGGAAGGGACTTTCCTTGCTGCGTTCCGGTGTGCGCCTTTTCTTGGCCAGAGCTGCTGCAGAGCAGACTCCATCTTGGCCACAAAGACACCACAGCTGCATTAAATTGACTTTAAAACTTGATCTAGTTACGCTGAGACAAATATCTAATATAGGTGACGGGGGAGCCAGAGGGCCATTTCCCCCCCCCCCCCACTTTTTACCGGCTGTAAGGGTGAGTGACGGGAGGGGCAGAGAGGAGCGAGTGGGGGTGGGGTCTCAGGGGAAGGGGTGGTGTGAGGATGGGGTCTTGGGGGAAGGGGTGGGGCTCATGGGAAGGGGTGGTGCAAGGGTGGGGCCTTGAGGGAAGGGGTGGGGTCTTGGGGTAATGGACAGTGTGAGGACAGGGGCTCAGGGAGATGGGGCGATGTGGGGGTGGAGCCTCGCACAGGGGGCAGGGCCACTGTTCAGGTGCCGGGGGGGGGGGGCACTTTTAAGGTGCTTCTGTTGCTCCTGGTAGAGGCCCTAAAATGGTTTGTTTCCCTTCAATGGGTTTAGTTTGAATTCCAGATTAAACCGGTTGAAGAGCATTTACATTAGGGATTTCCACTAGTATAATTAGAAGATCAATGTTAAAACGGATTTAGTTACGCTGCTACGACTTTTCAAATATTGACAAGCCCATAGATTAGCAATACAGCACGATTGAGAGTTGCCATTATCTGATGCTGGCTGAGAAGCAGAAGTCGGGGTTGCGGTGCTGTAGCCAGGAAAGGAATCGGTAGGTCGTGATTTCCCCGCCTCCAGCCCCACAAATGGCGGTGCTGGGAGTCTGTGGGGCGCAGGGTTGTTGGTTTTTTTTTTTTTTAAGTTCTCAATAATGCAAGCCTCTTGCCAATAGCCAGACCAGTTATCTTTATAGTCAATTGGGTGGTTTCGGTTCCAGGTAAAATGTTTCTATTAACTGGAAGTTGCAGTGAGGGTTGTTATTAAGCAGCATCTACTGTAACTGGAATCTCTGGCTGCGTGTGGTTTCCTTTTCTGTGTCACCTACCTGAAGAGGAGAGGGTATTCCGGCTACCCTGGTTCCACGCATGGCAACTGGCTTCCTTGAAATCCCCCTTTAGTTCTCTTGTGATGTGTGAATAAATCCCTGTGTGTAATCTCTGCCTATCCATTTTAGTTTCTAAATCCCTTTGGAGTTCGGTGGCGGGGAGGAGATGCAGGATTCTGAGGCAATGTGCGGTTGTTCGTTACACTGCTAACGCCTCTGGATGTGCGGGCAGGGCTGGGGAAGGAACTAGGGGTGCAGAGAAACCTAGCCAACCCTTGAAAATTAGGACTGTTTCTGTCTCTTGATTTCAGTTTAGTCCAGTAGCTGCCAAGGGGAGAGGATCCGGTGCTGGGATCTCTGAAGTTGATTGCTGCCTCCAAATTGGACCCAATTGCAGCTGGAGAGGAACTGGTCAGAGGCCAGTGCCCGCACCCCAGCCTTCATCTGTCTCGGTGAGAGAGGAGAGATGACAAAAGGCGAGGGTCCCATGGATTCAGAGCAGTCACCCAATGAAAGAGAAGGTAACTGACGCTTTACTGAGTAGGAACAGTCTGGAGGCTACTTAGGGTGTCCAGGTGCCTGGTTTTTGACCGGAAAGTCCAGTCAAAAAGGGGACCTAACAGTGTCCGGTCAGATCTACCGACTGGCCACGCAAAGTCTGGTTACTGCTGGTGGGGGAGGCACCGGGTCGTCACCCGCGCCAGCTCCTACTCAGCTGGGGTCGCCTCCTATCTGCGTCGGGCAGCTGCAGCTCCCAGCCCCGGCTCTGCAGGTGAGTTCCTCCCAACCCAGCCAGGGGAGATAGGGGAATAGCAGTGAACAATGGCGGGTGGGGGGAAAGAAGAGCAAATGGGGGGTGGGACCTCAGGGGGAAGAGGCGGGGCAGGGGTGGGGCTTTGGGAGAAGAGGCAGGGCGGGGTGGAGGAGGGGGCCTCAGGGGGAAGAGACGGGGCGGGGGAGGTTCCGGCACTCCTGCTGGAGTGTCCATTTTTTAAGTATTACAAAGTTGGCAACCCTACCTATACTGCTGTCTGCTGGGTGGCATCAGGAGTCCCAGGTCACAAGCTCCTACATGCAGGCCCCGCAGTTCGTACGCGCAGCTGCTGTTTTCCAAGCACAGACATGAGATGATGGTTGTGTAGCGGGAGCGCTCGCATTCTGTGGGCTGGTGTAACCCAGGCCTGCTGGGTGTGGCGCTCTGTCGCCCTCTAGAGGCACCTAGACCACCTAGAGATGAATAAGTCTGCTTCAGCCTTAGCGAAGAGGCAGGTGGCTTTTAGCTCATGCAGTAGACGCTCATGGTCAGTGGTCCCAGGTTCTATCCCACCGGCCGACAGACCAAGTGACTGACTGGGTTTGTTCTTTCTCTCTCTGCTTTATGCTAAGGACAAGTGGGTCAAGTTTGCCATCGCTGCACCTGTTTCACCCAGAATCCCACAGTGGGCATTGCTGAGACCAGCTGTGCACGGGGGGAGGGGAACTGGATAGCTTGTTTATGCAAACACAGGTTTCTGCAGACATACAGTAAATGCACACCTGCTCCTGTGGCTTCATCAGTGGGCCCTCGGAAATCCTTCTGTCTGGAATATTTTGACGTTGGTCGAGCATTCCGTTCCATGACTGAAGGGATTTCAAAGAAACCGTTAACTTCTGCCCAAAACAGTTTTCATTGAACGGACACAGTCATTTATTCAAACAGTACAACGGCACCCACCATCCAGGGGTCTGCGCACCCCTTCCAAACAGCCAGAAATAATCCCGACCACCCACACTGAGGGTCCTATGGGTGTAGGAGAAGGGAAGGAAAATGATCTTTATTTTGCTGACCTTTTGGTGCCGTTGTTATTTTGGCTGGATGGAACTAACTTGAGAAATAGTCAGATGAGGAGCCTTAGGGAAGCTAAAAGGAAACGGGGTAGAAGGAAAGTCTTGTGGCTAACGCACTGGACTCAGAGTCATGAGTTCGTGGTTATGTATTCATGCCGCTGCCTCCCTGTGATCCAGGGCAAGGCGCCTCGCTCTCTGCCTCAGTTTCCCCATCTGTGAAATGGTGACGACGATACCGCCTAGCGGCTGTGCAGATAACGTCTGTGATGGCGGAGGGCTGCGAGCATTGGAGGGGAAGGGGCTGTGGAAGCGCAAAGTCAGTGACACCTAGGGATTCGCCAGAGTTTTCCTGCTGCCGTATGTAAACCTGGTTCCTTGTATTAAATGTAGACGTACAGACCTTTGTGCGTCAGACTGCGAGGGGCTCCGTACCGGGAACACGTCCTCAGCTCCCCAGCAGCATCGATACTTTACCATCTGTTCTCCACCTGGGAAGCTAGTTGTCATGGTGATGGGCTGGCTAAGGGCGACATAATGCTGGTGGTGCTGAATCCCTCTGGTGCCACCGCCTGGGGCGACCTACGGGACATGAACGGGGTTTGTTCTCTTTCAGTTGAACTGCCTAACAACAAACTCCAGAGAGCTGTTGGGTGGAAAGCCCCGCTAGCCGTCGGCCTGGTAGTCATAGTCGTGATTGTTGCTGTTGCTGTGATACTTCTGCACGGTGAGTTATCGGCCTTCGCTGCCCCGCGTTGGGGGGAGGCATGTGGGTCACATGCCCCCCCCCCTAAGATTTCTGCTGGGGTGGGAGTTGGGATGAGTGCAGCTGAGGGGGACATGCCTGGGAAAGGCACCAGCAGCAAGTGCTCCTGCCTGAATCCCACTAGGTGGCGCCCCAGAGCAGGGAAGCAAAACCGGGCCGGTAGCCCAGCTCTCTGCCAGAGGGGGCGCTGTGTGGGGACTCGCATCCCTTCCTCGCCAGCCAGCAGCTGCTGTTAGAGCACATGTCTGGCCTGGCCTGCCTAGCGCTAAGGGAGTCCGTTGGGGTAATGGGGGGAAGGTAGTGGAGCCTGGGGGTGCAGTGGGGAGCCCAGGGAGGCAGAGGGGCAGGGCGATGGGTGGGGGGCTGGGGTTGGCAGTGTGGGGGAGTCGGGGCAATTGGGGAATCAGGGGAGGCAGTGGGGACCAAGGCCGATTGGGGGATCAGTGGGGGTCGGGGCGATCGGGAGGGATGTGGGGGAGGCATCAGGCCAGGAGCATTGGGTTGGGGGAGGCCGTGGGGGGGACAGGGATGATTGGAGGATCGGGAGAGGCAGTGGGGAGCCAAGGGCGATTTGAGGGGTGGGGAACCGGGGGAGGCAGTGGGGGCCAGGGCATCAAAATACAAGTTCACCCAGTGTGCCATTTTCCCTAAGGCCAACCCTGGCAGGGCTGGCCTAAACACTGGGCGACATGGGTGACTGCCCAGGTTGCTGTGGTCAGGGGGTGCCTTGGTCAAGAGGGTGTTGCTGGAGGGTGCCTGGGGCAGTCATCAGGAAGGTGACCGTGGCTGTGGTGGCAAGGGGGGGACCTGCCATTGTGGTAATTACCAGTTGCCTCTGTTTGGCTTCAATAGTCAGGGTCAGAAATTACACATGTGGGATGCTTCCACCCACTGCCTGTGCTGGTCCCTTTTGTTGCCCCCTCTAATATTATGACAGCACTGGCCCTTTAACAGAGAAGCTAGCTTAAAACAGCCTGTCAGGGTCTCCCTCCCCCCACACACAAACACTCTGAACTCTGGGGTACAGATGTGGGGACCCGCATGAAAGACCCCCACGCTTATATTCTACCAGCTTAGGTTAAAAACTTCCCCAACGTACAGATTCCTTCCCTTGTCCTTGGACGGTATTGCTGCCACCACCAAGTGATCTACACAAAAATTCAGGGAAGGGTCACTTGGAATCCCTATTCCCCCAAAATATCCCCCCAAACCCCTTCACCCCCTTTCCTGGGGAGGCTTGAGAATAACATACCAACCAGTTGCGTTAGCAATGTGAGCACAGACCAGACCCTTTGTCTTCAGGACACTGAAATCAATCAAGTTCTTAAAAGAAGAACTTTTATTATAAAGCAAAAAGTCAAAGCATCACCCCTGCAAAATCAGGATGGAAGGTACACAGAGGATTCCCCTCTGGGCTCAGCTTCACAGTTACAAAAACAGGAATGAAACAACCTCTGTAGCACAGGGAAATTCACAAGCCAAAACAAGAGAGAACCTAACGCATTTCCTTGCCCTACTCACCATTTCTGTGGGTTTAGGTGGATTATTTCAGGTATATTTTTCAGGAGATATTGTACCTGCTTGGCTTCTCTCTCTCCGTCCGTGAGAGAGGGACGACAACAACAAAACAAATCCTTTCCTTCTCACCCCACCCCACCCCCCCCGATTTTCTTTCCTCAATGGTCCTTCTGGTCAGGTGCCAGCTAGGTTATTTGAACTGCTTAACCCTTTACAGGTAAGACAATCCGGTACAGCTGCCAAGGAGGGATTTTATGTTACCGAATGGGCTGGCATACATAAAGGTTGCTACCCATCCCCCTATATTCATGACACAGCCCGTCTGGCTGAAAGTGTTTTCCCAGTTAGTGGGGACAGTCCCTCCACGGAACGGCTGAGGAGACTCATGGGATGAGATTTTAAAATGCTCAGGGCCAGTGCGTGCCGAGCCCTTTTTGAAAATCCAGCGGCTTATTTTGCTGTCTCAGTGGGAAGCTGAGAGCTTTCGGAAATCTGGCAGCTGGGCAGACGGGGCTGCGCAATGAGGAAGGCTGGAAACGGTGCGTTAGACCAGAGGACAAATCAGCCCCAAGCAAACAACAAAAACCCCTTTAAACAGGCAGATCTGGGCTTGCACCTGGTACGTGACCGATCTCAGGGTCAGTTGATTCATTGGCACAGAAAGGTGCTACCCACGATACACGTTTATCAGCTTTCTATAGATTCCTCCTTTGAATTTAGAGAAAGCAAAGGGACACATCTCTTATCGCTGCTATTCTCTTAACTTCAGTGAAATCTCCTCTGGAATCCAAGTTGCCTCCTGTCTCCACCCCAGTCCATCTAAATGCAAAATTCCATGTGCCCTGCTGTCTGGATGGCTGGGTCGGGTACAGAGGGAAGTGCTACTATTTCTCTGAGGCCGAGGGGACCTGGGACTCCAGTCAGAGCTTCTGCTCTTCACTCAATGCCTCCCTGGCTTGGATCGACACTGAGAAAGACCTGGTAAGGAAAAACAAAAAATAAAACAGGTATAGGCACCAAGCAGCGTGTTGGCATGATCTTGTCCCAGGCCCTCTGGGCGGAGGACGGGGCAGGGCTCCCCAAATGCAGGAATCAGGCGCTGCCCATGGCCTCACAATCCCATAAGTTAATGAAGGGAAGATCTGTGCCCAGATCTCACCCAGCAGTTCAGAGGGTGGGAAGGAACTTTGGAAACAGAACAGGTGCAGAAAAGGATGGCAGGAAAGAGACTTTAAAGTTTCTTTTTTAAGCAGTCGTTTCCACAGTCCATGGTACGGTGGCACAGCCGTTTGTCTGCCTTACCAGAGGAGAATCAACGACCTTAGCCTGTTTAGCCTAACCAAACAAAGGCTATGGGGAGATAGGATTTCCCTCTATAAATACATCAGAGGGATAAATACCAGGGAGGGAGAGGAGTTAAGTTAAGCGTCAATATAGACACAAGAACAAATGGATATAAACTGGCCATCAACAAGTTTAGGCTTGAAACGGGAGGAAGGTTTCTAACCATCAGAGGAGTGAAGTTCTGGAACAGCTTTCCAAGGGGAGCAGTGGAGGCAAAAAACCTAACTGGCTTCAAGACTGAGCTTGATAAGTTGATGGATGGTATGATGGGGCTGCCTACAATGGCGTGTGGCCCATCTGCGACGGCCAGCAGCAAATGTCTCCAACGTTTGGAGCGGACACTGGATGGGGAGGGCTCTGAGTTACTACAGAGAATTCTTTCCCAGTGTCTGGCTGATGGGTCTTGCCCACACACTCAGGGTCTAACTAGTTGCCATATTTGGGATCAGGAAGGAATTCCCCCCTGGTCAGATTGGCAGAGACCTGGGGGGTTCACCTTGCTCTGCAGCATGGAGCACGGGTCACTTGCAGCTTTAAACTAGAGAAAATTGTGGATTCTCAATAACTTGAAGTCTTTAACTCATGATTTGAGGACTTCAGTGACTCAGCCAGCGGTTAGGGGTCTCTTACAGGAGTGGGTGGGTGAGGTTCTGTGATGTGCTGGAGGTCTAGAAGATCATGATGGTCCCTTCTGGCCTTAAAGACTGAGTCTTGCAGACAAGTGATATCTGCCCCACTCCCCCATCAGATATCCTCACCAGTCCCCCACCAAATACCGGCCACTGTGCCCAACAGCAGTGAGTAAGCGTGTTAGCTTAATGTTGCTATTAAAACAATTAACAGCAAAATAGTTAACATAGAGTTGGACACCATTAGGTTTCAGAGTTAAAACAAGTGGAACTGAACTGTGCAGTTCATAGCTAATGTGTGAGGCTCTCTGCAAAATCAGGGACCATCGACACTAGGAAAGAGATTTGTTTTAGGCAGCAGGTCCCCTTGAAGCAGTGACTGAAAATAGCTTAACTGCTTAAACAGCATTACAGACTATAATGTGTTGGGTTTTTTTTGTTTTGTTTTTAAAGATGTTCATATTGCGATATAAAGGCCTCTCTGAGTTCTGGATTGGCCTGAAGCGAGTATCGGCGCAGACCTGGCAATGGGTGAATGGCGAACACTTCAACAACCTGTGAGTCCTTTTCTAGCTAGGTTCCAAATGGGAAAAGGGCTGAATTCAGGCAGATTAAAAAAAATGTGTTATTCTCAAAATAACGTTGATGACTTTTCTCCTTTGTGACATTTCCCCCCCAGTCTTTGGGGTTCCTCCCCATTGCTGACCTAGCAGATCAGTGGGCTGCTGCCTTCCCCTCCAACCCTCTAATGGGCAGCTTAGGTGGAAACGCTTTAAAGACTCATGGTACTTCCTGAAAAGTTCAGTAAGGATTTAAGCCCAGATTTTAAAGGTACTTAAGCGTTACTCAGCCTTTCAAAGCCTAAATAACTTAAGAAGAGAAGTCTCAGTTTCAAAAGTGCCTTAGACACCTAAGTCACTTAGGCCTTGCACTGCTGAGCAGAGGAGCAGTGCCTAAATACCTTTCACAATCTGGACCTTAGCCCTTTCTCCTCCTCTCTAGAGGAAAAAAAGGTAGGACGAGAGGCTCCAGTGCCCACGCTGAGTCGATGCCAAGTGCCAAATGGCTGCTGGTGAAGAATCTGGCAGGACAATCACTGAGGTTGCAGTGGTGCTGCAGAAATAACCATGCTTGTAACCCAGCTATGTTAAGAGAGTTAGGTGTCTTGCATTGCCAGTGTGGACAGAAGACTGTTCCTTAATCCTACAGGAGATCAACCTTTTAGTCTCTTCTTCCCCACCCCTCTTGCCAGGAAGAGTTTGAGTGGAATTATTGGTGCAGGAAGCAGGCGACCCCGAGGGGTTTCACTGGATGGGCCCATGTGACGGGGCACATGCCCGGCCCCGGCCCGACTCTTATCGCCAGGGTGTCTCTGTCGCAGGTTTACGGTACGGGGAGAAGGCGACTGCGCGTACCTGAGCGATGACTTTGCCACTTCGTCGTGGTGCTCCACGAAGCGCTACTGGCTCTGCAGCACACCCGACGGGATGCGGCGGGAGGACGCGATGCCGGGGGACTGAAGGGCGAAGGTTGGGAAAACGCCTCAGGGCCCAGCTGCATGACGCTCCAAACATCGCTCGATAAGATCCTCACTAGAGTTTGACAGATTTTTGTTGTTGTAAATAAGCCTCTTTTCTAACCTGCTCTTTATTGTGGGCCCTGGATAGCCCTCTTTGTCCTGGTTGTTTTAAATATAGACCAGGTCTTAGTTAAACTCACTCCTGAATGCTGTAGTTAGGCCAATGTAACCCCCAGTGTAGACGCAGCTAAGTTGACCTAGCTACCGTCACTGGGAAGGCGATGTTCCTACAGTGATGGGGGAAACCCCCTTCCCCCCACTGTAGGATGTGTCTGCTCTGGGGTTATGCCAACGTAGTCTGCTGCCATGTCCCCTTACTATAGACATGGATTAAAACCCCTTCCCAGCTTCCCCTGCTGTTGTCTGTCAGGGTGCGTCTACACTGCAATGGGGGTACGTGATTACAGCAATGAAGGTGCAGTAGCACTGGGCTAGTCGCCCAGGTTCCAGCCTGTGCGGCTGCAGCATCATTGCTCCAGTACTAGCTAGATTAAAATTAGCATGTGTATGTTGTATATCTGCATGAATGGCCACCAAACCCTGTGATTGCAATGTGGACATACCCTCCGCTCTGCTGTGCCGGCTGAGCAGGAAGGCAGCACTGCTTGAAGACGGATTGAGACCACAGGCGCCGACTCCGTGGGTGCTTGGGGGCTGGAGCACCCACGGGGAAAAATTAGCGGGTGCTCTGCACCCACCGGCAGCCAAGTTCCCCCCCGCCCAAGTGTGCCGCGTCCCCCCTCCTCCCCCTCTCTCCCAGCACTTCCCACCCGCCGCCTAACAGCTGTTTGGCGGCACTTAGTGCTTTCCGGGAGGGAGGGGGAGGAGCGGGGACGCGGCGCACTCAGGGGAGGAGGCGAAGAGGCAGGGGCGGGAACTTTGGGGGAGGAGTGGAATGGGGGTGGGGCGAGGGCGGGGCAGGGGCGGGGACAGGGAGGGTCGAGCACCCACCGGGCAGAGGGGAAGTCGGCGCCTATGATTCAGACAATCTTAAACAGCAATAGGCTAAGAAAATCCACAGAGGCAGCCTCACACAACATCCTCCCGAAGGAAGGAAGCTGCGGCAAGAGACAAGCAGCCAGGCTGTGGGTTTTCTTCGACTGTTGCAGAACCAGGCTGTGTTCGCTCATGCTGTCTCCCAACCCTGAGCAACAAAGTTGTGAGTTAAGGCTAAATGGGACCGGGATCCGAACTCCCCAATGGGCCCTTTGTTGAGGCTTCTAGCGATGTCTCCTGCATGGACTGTGTTGTGTTGTCTCCTAGATCAAAATGTGGTAGCTGCATCTTTGACGGAGTCTCCGTTGTGGAGCCAAGAAGGTAATTAAGGAGGGCCAGAAATGAGGTGCAGGTTCAAATGGAAATCGAAATGTCTGCATGTTTGAGAGTGTTAAGGCCTTGCTGGGCTTATTGAGACTGGAAAGGGAAGGCCAAGCATGCGTGAAAGCCAGAAGTTGATAACTAGCTAGGTGTGCTAGCAGAAAAGTTACAGAGGCGCTGGCGCCCTGTGAAGAAGCTGTGGAGCTGCCCAGGAGAGGGGTTTACTTTGTGAGACGGCATCGGGTTGTGTACTCTGTACTAGCAATGGGGAATTGTGAGTTGCTGTCACCATTACATCCCACCCACAAGAATTTGCTTACAAACTCATAGGCAGAGCGGATGCCTTTTAATCTCACTGAGTTATCTTTCAAGGCAAGTTCGAGGCAGAGAAGCTGAGGTATGTAGAACCCTTTCAATTGCACTTGACTTTCCCCGTGATCAAGTTTTTAATCAGTGAGCAAAACAAACCGCAAAATCTGATTCAGGGTAAGCGAGTTGGTTTCCTGACTTTGCTATAGAAACTTAGATAAGGACAAAGAACAATGTGTGTGTAAAACTCTTAAGACTTAAGAGTCTTTAGATGCTTTAAGGTTCATTTGCAAATGTTGTTTAAGAGTTTAATTCCCCTGGGACTCACTTGCCAGCTAAGTTACAAGTACTTTTGTGGAGGACAAGATGCGTATTTTCCCCTTGTTTGATATGGCTGGGTATTTTCTAGCTGAATCATCTGTCCAAACCATGGCGCTGAATCTAAATAATTGAAATGTATAAAGTCTCACAACTAACAAAAAATTAATCGTGTGATGCCAAGAAGTGTTCACTGTTCACCTATTTAATTATTTGTTGTTTACTTCTTTTGTTTTATACAGTTTGCTATGACTTTGTCAGTCCTATAAGCTAACAGTAAAAAAACCACAACCTTGTATTTTTTCCTTCTGTTTTAATTTGCTCATAATCATAGAGTTTAAGGCTAGAAGGAACCTCTTGTTTTATCAGTTTCTTCCCTCATTCTAACTTGGAGACAACTGGAAATTTTCTAATGAAAAGTTTGTCAGAAAACAGGATTTAGTTGAACATTAACTTTTTTTTTTCCAGAAATTTCATTTTCAATGACTTCATATTTTAGTTTTCTGAAGGTTTTTTTTCCAATATAATTTCAGGGGGGAAACCCCAGCGGTTTTCAGAATTTTGTAAATCTTTTGAAATTGTGCTGGTTTTTTGTTTCATCTCTCCACTTTCTGGCTGCCTTCCAATTTTTGCCAGGTGGAAAACAGTAAGAGCATTTCTGAAAGTAATACCTTGTGTTAAATGAACATTTAAAAGTGAAAGTGTTCCTTAAAAAAAAAACGACCCTCCTACAAATCCTTTCTCACTCACTGTCTCCAAAGTGGAAAAAATTGGGAACAAGTAAAAACGTGTGAGCGGGGAAAGAAGTTTTGCCCTTAAATTGTTTCATTAGAATGTTTAAAAATGTTTGGGATTTTTTTTTCCTGTTGAAACTTTTGCAGGACAAAATGCTGCTTTTCCAGCTAGTTCTAGTCTGTGGTGTTGTTGTTGATTTTCCTTTTATGTATTGGTTTATTTTTATTTTTTTCCCTGGCCTAGCGCCATCTGATGGGCCGGAGTAGACATTGCAATGTCTAGGTTTGCTGCAGAGCATCCTAATCTTCTGCTGTGTAGTTAGAGCGGAGACCAGCGCTGGGAGAAAGGTGAGTCAGAAGCAAATTGTATTTGAGACTAGCTGGGTGACTCCTCCACACTGTCCCAGTGGGAAACAGCCACTGCAAAGATTGAAAGGGGGAGGAGCTAATATACTAATCAGTGGTACAAACTCAATACAGGGATTATTGTATAGATTTAATGTATCTAACTCTGATTACTTGCACTTGTAATTAAAATTATTAATCAATACTCTGAGGCTGTGTTCGTGAAGCTCTGTCCTCTTACAGCCGTGGCCTGCGAAGTGCAGCTCTGTGTGTGTTCCCTTCCTATGTGCGTTTGCATGCAGACAAGTTCATTCTGTGCTTAAACGTGCCCCTGGGGGGCGCTCTTTCTCTTGTGTATTTCAAAAGCGTCCCAGCACTGACAGAGCAGAGGGTGGCGTTTTCCCAGGCCCAGCAACGGCCCTCCACCTTTGAGAGCTTTACCCAAAGCCTGAACCTTAGGCATGTGTGTCCCTTAATCAAATAGGGGATCCGTTAATGCCATTTATATCAGGACAGCTTCTCTCTGGCAAATCCATTTAAAGGTACCACTGCAGAATTCACCACGAATCTGATTCTCCTTCCACACCCCACAGCTGTTTCCAGTGTCAGGGGCCGATAGTGAGACCCTGCAGAAAAACAAAGTCAGTCACCAGTGGAGTCTAGATCTATCACCTAGCTCGGGGGGGCCAACCTGAGCCTGAGAAGCAGCCAAAATTTACCAATGTACATTGCCAAAGAGCCACAGTAATATGTCAGCAGCCCCCGATCAGCTCCCCTGCCTCTCTCCCAGCGCCTCCCGCCCACCGGCAGCCCCACCAATCAGCATCTCCCCCTCCCTCCCCTGCACCTCCCGATCAGCTGTTTCGTGGCGTGCAGGAGGCTCGGGGCGGGGGGGGAGAAGTGAGGGCATGGCAGGCTCAGGGGAGGGGGTGGGAAGGGGTGGAGTGGAGGCAGAGCCAGGGGTTGAGCAGTGAGTCGGTGCCTATACAAGGAGTCGCATATTAACTTCTGAAGAGCCGCATGTAGCTCCAGAGCCACAGGTTGGCCACCCCGACCTAGCTCCTAGAGCAGCACTTGTTTGTTGTTTATTAGCACTTGATTTTTTTTTCCCCCTGCAGGGTTCAGATACCTCACTGAGCGTGAAAGGAGCTGGTAGGAGAATGAGAGAAACAAACCACCTGTGATGGGGGTTAGTCGTGTTGCTTAGGGTTACCATACGTCCGGATTTTCCCGGACATGTCCGGATTTTGGGGCCTCAAATCCCCGTCCGGGGGGAAATCCCAAAAAGCGGTGCAGGGCCGGGGGCCGGCGCGGTGCTTGGCCGGAGCCGGGGCCGGCGGTGCGGGCACTTGGCCAGGGTTGCGGTGCTCGGCTGGGGCCGGCGGCGCAGGCACTTGGCCAGGGCCGGGGTCACGGTGCTCGGCCGGGGGTGTGGGCACTTGGGCAGGGGCCAGCGCCCCAGGGCCCGAGCCGAGCGGGAGACGCTGGGGCCAGAGCCTCTTGGCCTGGGCCGGCCGGCCGGCTGCCGGAGGGAGCCGCTCGGCCGGGGGGGCCGGACTGGGCCGCGCTGCGCCCCGCCCCAGCCCCAGCTTACCTGCTGCCTCCCTGTTTCAGGCTTCCCGTGAACATTTGATTCGCAGGAAGCAGGGGAGGGGGAGGATCAGGGGGCGGAGCGTTCAGGGGAGGGGGCAGAGTTGGGGCGGGGCTGGGGGCGGGGCCAGGGCTGCATGGAGTGTCCTCCTTTTTAAAAATTAAAATATGGTAACCCTAGTGTTGCTTCATGCATGGCAGGAACGTGCGGAGACACTGTGGGGAAAAGGGTGGCTGCAAGCGTAACCCAGGCCTGCTGGGGGTTGTGTTCTGTCCCCCTCTAGTGGCCTAGAGGTTAACGGGTCTGCTACAGCCTCGCTTTTAGCTCATGCAGCAGAGCCGGGGGCTAGTCAGTTATTTTTTTGCCAAGGTCCACATTTTTCACACCACAATAACAACAATGAGTAAATAAAAAGATTTTGTGGTCTGTTCAAAAGCACCTGGAGGTCCAGCTTTGGCCCGCAGTCCGCCCATAGCCTAGCCCTGCAGTAGATTCTCATGCACTAAGCTTCAGAGGTCCCAAGTTCGATCCCGCCCGCCAATGACCAGGCTCTGTCACCGTTACGCAAGAGCCTCATCAAACTAGAATCTCGGTGGACGGGGAATCTCTGCAAAACTGCCAGGAGGGTGGGAGAAGGCGGCCATGGCTACTGAATTACTTACCCCGCCCCACCCCCCACTCTGCTGGGCTCAGGTGAAACACACACACCCAGAGTTAATCTCTCCTCCACAGCTTTGTTCCCTCTAGCTGTCATGGGCTCCCCGAGTCCACCAGATGAATTATAAACTGTGTACTTGGCTTC